GGGCCGCTTGTCTGCGGACCCCCCCGGGGGGGGGGGGGCGAAGATGGCCGGCATGTGGCACCCCCCCGGCCGCCCACCGCGGGCCCCGGCTGGCGGGCCCAAAACAGGGAGGCCATGCCTGGCACCGGGCGGCCGGGGCCGTGTGCCGGGCTCCCCCCCCCCCCTCCCCCCCGAGCGGGTGCCGAGCCGTGGGCGCGGGGCGTGGGGCGGCGGACGCGCGTGCCCACGCCGCCGGGCCTCGCGGCAGGGGATTCCATTGTTTTCATTCCACCCGCGCCATGCCTGGTGGGAAGATTCCGGCGGCGGGCGGCCGCGGCGCGAGCCCTTTCCGGATCCTGCCCCTGGATATGGGGCCGCCTCGGTCCGGGGGGCGGGAGGGGGGCCGCCGTGCGGCCGTGGCGGCCGGCGGCCGGGCGGCCGCGGGAGGCGGGGGCAAGATCGCCAACCCCGGCCGGGTCCGTGGCCTGACCGAGGCCCGCCCGGGGCCGGCGGATTTGCCCCGAGCACATGTCCCCGGGAGATTGGCGTCTATCTGTGCGCGCCGGGGGCGCCGGCGCCGGCGCCGCGCGAGGGGGGGGGCGGGCGGGGGCGCGGCGAGGCCACGAGAGCGCCGATCCGGCCCGGGCCACGAAAGCGCCAGCCCGGCCCGGTGCCCGGGCCTGGCAGCCTGGATGCCGCCGCCGCCGCCGCTGCCGCCGCCTCCTCCCCAGGGGGCCGGCCGCCGATTGGGCCCATTCCTGGGCCGCGCCGCATGGCTGGCCCCCCCGCTCCCCCCCCCCCCCTTCGCCGGCTCATGTCCATCCTCAGGCCTGCTGCCTGGCCGGGCCGCCGGGGAGGCGGGGCCTCACGCGGGCGCCACCGCCCGCGGCGCCTATTTGAGGCGGTGCCCGGGCGGGGGGGACCCGCCGCTGGGGGTTGCAACTGCTCTTGCCCTCTGGTTTCCTGTGTTGATGCACCCTCGCGCGCGCGTCTGCCACTGTGTGTGTGTGTGTCTTTTTGTGCCCTTGCCTTGTTCCCCCTGCCTCGTCCCCGCGCTCGACCCCGGTGACCGGCATCCCGCCCTGCCTCGTCCGCGGCCCGCTGTGCCGCCCCGCCTCCGGCTCGTCTGCCGCCCCGGCGCCTGCTGCGCGATCCGCCTGCGCCTGCATTCCCCCCCCCCCTTCCCCCGGCCCAAGCCATGGGTGTCATTTCGCTGCAGCTGTGGCAGCTGCTGCTGGTCCTGGTGCCGGTCAATGCGGCCATCAGCTTCGCTTCGGCGTCCATCTCCTTCACGGCCTGGAATTTGATCGTCCCGCTGCTGGGGTCCATCTTCGGCATCCCCCTCCGGGTGTGCGGTGCGTGGCCGGCACCGGCGCCTGCTCCATTTCCTTCGCCCCGCCGGCCGGCCGCGGCGCCCCCCGCGCGAGACTGACATGCGACACCCCCCCCTCTGGCCGGCTCCGCGCAGTGCTCCTGTCGGTGGTGACGGACATCGTCAATGCGCTGGTGCTGCTGGTGCTGAATGTGCGCCAGCAGCTGGTCGACGGCAAGGTGGGCATGCTCCTGTCGTTGGTGGGCTTCGCGGTGACCGCCACGTGGGCCCACTGCGCGCCGCACTTCCTCGAGCAGAATGTCGGCGTCGTCGGCCAGACCCTCTACATCCTGCCGCTGATCATGGCCACCGGGTTCCTCATCCGGGCCGTGGTGGCCAGCGTGCAGGCGTCGCGGGCGCGCCGCGCCAAGATCCAGGAGACCGTGGCCCCGGAGCTGGACACGGTCCTGCCGCCGCCGCCGCCGCCGCCGTCGGCAAAGGTACGCACCCGGGTCCGGCGGGCAGCGGGGGAAGGCCGAGGGCGCCGGGGCCGCTTGGCGTCGGGCCATGTCGCTGACAATCCACCATCCCGGCCGTGGCGCTGGCCGCAATCGGGGGGGCCCCCATCCGCCGGCTGCCGCGCGAATGGGCACGCACGCGCCGTGCACGCCATGCCCCCCTCCTGCCTGCCCTTCTCCCCCCCCCCCCCCCCCCTTTCGGGGTGGGCCGGCGGCGGCACGCACAGCCGATGGAGGACCTCGAGATGCAGGCCCTGGCGACGGTGGCCGAGGGGAAGCTCCTGCCGCCGGTGGCCACCGGCCCCGGGCCGGAGTCCGACCTGAGCGACTACTCGCCGAGCTTCGGCTCGGACAGCGACATCACCTCGGTCGGCTCGCCGGACTCCCTGCACGGGCCGCTGTCGATCGGCGGGTCGGACGACCTGCTGTACCCGGCCGGCGGGCAGGTGGTGTGGCCGGCGGCGCGGGCGATCAACCCCCGGCCGGGGCCGGCGGCGGGCGCGAGGCCTGGGGCCCGGCCCGGCCGCCCGGCCGCCCCCGAGGCCCCCCCGGCGCCCGGCGTGTCGCTCAGCTGGTGGGACAAGCTCCTGCTGCCCCATGCGCCGCTCATCCGGTGGTACGGCCTGGCCAAGACGTCGCGCATTCCCCTGCGCCTGGCCCTGGTGGTGGCCAATGTGTCGATCATGTCCTCCCTGAGTGGGCTGCTCTTCTTCGGCGGCGGCATGGTGATGGCCGTGGCGCAGGGGATCTTCCTGCGGGCGGACATCCGGAGCTGCGCCGCCACCTCCTCCATGATTACGTTGTTCGTCATGCTCGGGGCGCTGTCGGCCCTGCTGCGGTACGTTGCGCCGCGGTCGTCACTCTCCGGGCGGGGGGGGAGGGGGGGGGCAGGCTGCATGTGTGCATATGGGACTGACACCGGGCCGCGCTCGGTGCCGGCATCCAGCGACCCGACCGGCGAGATCTACACCTTCGACCTGGGCATGATGGTCATCGTGTCGGGCGTTTGCTCGACCCTCTTCACCCTGCTCGGGCACCTGTGCATGCGGCGCCTCCGCCAGCAGGACCTCTACTATGTGATCAGCGCCATTCTCTTTGCCATTGGCATCGGGATCCTGGTGCAGCAGTTGCTCCAGTAGGAGGGGGCCGTGCCGGGGCGCGCGCCGGCGTTGTATTCCCATCCTTTCGCCTTGTCCCGCGCCGTGGTGGCTTCCCTTTTTTTTATCCCCCCCCCTGTCCTTGTGCGGCGCGGGGAGGCCTGGTGTGCCTCCACCTGTCGAAGAAAATACCGATCTACCGTGTGTGTATGTGTGTTTGTTCCTGCTCGGGGGCGAGGGAGGGGGAGGGAAGGAGAGAGATCCCCCGGGTGGGTGGGAATGTCCCTCCCCCTTGTGGGGCGGGGGCCGAGGCCGGGAGGTGGTGCGACCCGGGCAGGAGCCCGGGGGCGAGGGCGGCCGGCGATATACAATGGGATCCCCCCCCCCCCCCCGTGTGGGGGGCCGGCCGGGGGCGGAGAAGGTTGCGCCGCCGGCCGGGCGGCCGTTGGCCATTTCGGGGGCACGCATGCGGGCAGAGGCCGCCGACAAGGCCGGGGCGGCCGGGGCTCAAAAGATGGCCAGCCACCCCCTGCGAGGGGGAGGACACGGCGACCAGCGGGCCCGGTGTGCTGGAAATATATGTCTGGCCCCTTCATATGTGTCCTTGACCGGCGCACGGGGAGGCCCGGAAATGTGCGCCGGCGCGTGTGGCGCATCTTCCTGCCCAAACCGAAAGGGGCAGCCTGTTAAGGGGGGGGGGCGCGTGGGGGGCGGCGGCGGCGGCGGCGGCGGAGAATGTGTGTCACCCGGTCGCGCAGAGGGGCGGGGGGGAAAAAAATAAAACACAACGGCCCCCCCCCCCCGTGGGCGGCGGTGGCCGGGGTGGGCGGGCGCGCCGGGCTTCGGAGCAAAAAGGGGCCAAACATTCATTTACCCCGGGCCGGGCCGAGATTCCGGAGCCTCTCCCGATTAGTATAGTGGTGAGAATCCCCGCCTGTCACGCGGGAGGCCCGGGTTCAATTCCCGGATCGGGAGCTCTTTTTTGTTGCCGCCCGGAGCAACCGGCCCTTGTTCGCGGCGGTGGTGGGGGCGGGGGGCTCATCCACACCCGCCCCCGGGCGTGCGCAGGCTGGATGGAGTGAGCCCCCGAGAGAGTGCAAAAAAGCAGGGCGGGGTGCGGGAAAAAAAAAACCCTGGCATGTCCCCTCAGACGTGGCGCGTCGCGGCTCCGACCGCGCGTTCCCCGGGGAGCGTGTGGCCGTCTTGCCTCGGCAGGGGGACCGAGAGAAGGAGGGACGCTGGCGGGCCGGGCGCCTGCATGGGCAAGCGGCACGTTCATTGAAACGCTCGGACTGATTCACCGAGGCTTGTTCTCCGATATGGAGATCACGCCTCGGAAGAAAGCATTTCGTCTCGAGAGGTACAAGAAGGCAAGCGATGACAATAAAGCGCGCGCGGTCTTGTTGGGGGAAGCAAA